CTTCCTCATACTGCAATAAAAATAATGGGAACTACAGAACATTTGTACTTTAATTTGGTCTGTATATATCTTATTTGATTTACTGTTACGGTTGACCTATGTAAATGTATGAAAGAAGAACTCCATTCAATTGTTTTTGGATGGGAGGTATTAGACGCGGATGAAGATGCAAAAAGTATTACCAAACTACTTTGCGGAAATTACATGGATTTCAAACATTAGTTCTCTTGGCAGCTAGTGTCTCAGAAGATTTTAATATTTGTTCAGATGGGGAGACCTGCTATCAGATGAACATTAAACGGGACCTCCTAACATAAGAGCTCTGCTCTGGATCACCACAGTGGTGCACTACATTTAACAAAAACGAAAAAGGCCAGCAATCAGCTGGGATTTCTTATTCAGCCTTAAAAGTATATGTATAGCCAAAACTTTTTTTTCAGTTGTGGAAGGGTTAAAACCCTTCCACAACTGAAATGCAAAAATAAATTAGAGAAAATTTCCCCAAAGTTGGGAAAATTGTTCTCTCCCCACTGGAATTTCCCTTACTTTCTAAAAAAAGGGGTTGAAACTCCCTAGTGGGAACACAGATAGAAATAGAAATTCCACAGAGGGTCTAGCCCTCAGTCTATTTAAAAAAACCCATAAAAACAATTTGCCTAGAGATACACTTTAATACCTGAAGGGAACATAAAGCAACAAGCCTGACTTGATGACCATCATGGTCCTAAGCATCCGCCTAGATCTTTGGTAGGTGGTGGACTACAGCTAAAGAGCAACAGAAGCTGATCTTTTGTACATATGTGAAAAGTTAAAACTGTAAACAGCAAGATACTGCAAACCTTACTCATTCAACAGTCATTTAGGAAGAAACTTTAACTCTCCTTTCAACTATAATACAATACGTGTGCATGATTTATGAGTTGCAGCTTGTGGAATACATTATAAGATTACAAACTGGGGGCACAAGAGGACATTCAGCAGAGCTTGCATAACAAAAGTAAACTGAAAACGACTTCTGTAATATATCCTTTTTCTAAACAAACAGATGGAATATATTTCATAAGAAATGTAACATATAAATGTTAAAAAGTAATTTTATTGATGCTCTTCTTACAGGTTCAAACACAAGGTCACTTTTCTTCAGTCTGTGGTAGAGCTATATTTACCACTATGGCTTTAGAAGTCAACACACAGTAAAGTCCCTATAAAGAATATTGCACTCCATGAGAAATAAATGTAACCCAGTCCTGAAATATGTGTTGGGAAAAAGTTACTGTATTTACAAACCTATTTTAGGCCAATTTAAGTCTAGGTTTCAGGTGGTTTTAACAGCAACGGTTTAGGCCGATTTATGAAAAACAGCAAAATAAATCACTTTTTGTTTTGCTACACGTAAAGTGTACGTTAAGGCAAAAAGAAAAAATGCACTACATCTCTGCAATGCATTCACGTTTCCCCATGTTACATCCCTGCAAGTACAAAAAAAATTAAAAATACCTGTTGGATCTGCCAGAAATGAATTCACTCATGTGCTGTTGTGGGCTGACAACCCACACAACATTGGTGTGGACTGAGTGGTGTCAGTTCTGCCCAGTTTTCTTTGCCAAATCCAACCATCCCACTGTCCTATTCTCCACAACATAGAGACTACTTGTTTTGTGGACCAAGCTAAAGAGCTACATCATAAAGGAAGTGTCACCAGGAAACAGAACGGCTCTGAATTTCTGACATGATGTACAGTAATTTTTTGTTTTGCACTTATTACATATATATGACAAATTAAATGGTATATCTAGCAGACCAAAAAATGTAGCAAATAAAATAAGGCTATTGTTAAGGTTTAAATACACATACTCAACCTACTTTGGCTCAAAAAATGGTGAGATTAAATCAAATGGTGAGACGTAGCTAGACTGGCAAAAAAAGCAAACAAAAACCCCCAGCTAAAGGATTGAAAACAAAAAGACACATGCCAACTCCCTTATTTTAAAACAATAAATTATAAATTTAGGTTGGTACAAAGTCCCAGAAAATGTTTTGGATAACATTTTTTTAAAAAAAGGTGTTAAATTCTTGTTTTTGTCCCCATTTTTGCCAAATAGCAAACTGGAATGTACAAACTGCCACATGCAAATGTCATCTATTAATAAAAAACTCAGAAAGCTGTGCATACCCTCAATGTTTATGGGGTGTATTTATAAAACGTTTACAGAGCGAACAGTTTTGTGAATTTCAAAATTTTAGAGTTGCAGTGCATTATGTCCCCTAGATGGCCATAAGGCCAAATCTAATTGCCATACTGTGCTGCTAATCTAAAACTTAGTCCTTCGCAGATGCACCCCTCAAGCGCTTCATATTCCCATTTAATTCTTGCTTTACCTTCAAAAGCACATATAATAAATAAACACATTACGAATAAAAGAATGTTTAATTTTTTTCCTTTTACTGATCGAATAATGCCAATAAATTTTAACTCTGATGCTAATACTGAGGGGCTCGATTATAACAACGGGCCAATATCACTATCCACACTGAATTACGTACCACTGTGTACACTGCAGCCCATCTCATTCATAAAAAAAAAAATCAGACTGTGGAATATAGCCGGCAAAGCCCCACGGAGTTCTTCCAGCTCAATGGTGCAGACAGTGCTACGTGATTGGAAAAAAAGCAGGTTATGTGACAGGTCTGTTTTCTCTCCGCTGGCTTCAAAATCATGAAACTGGCTGAGTGCAGAGGAGGTTTGTAAAGCACATTGCTGTATTTTATAAATGTGCCATGCAGCCAGTGCTTTTAAAATGAGCCCCATACAATCATTTTGATCAGTCTAGTTCAAGTTAGACAAATCAAAGCAAAAAGGTTAATTGTGCTACTGAAACTATTTTTTAAATAAGCCTTTTTTTTTATTTTACTTCTTAAAGAATACCTAAATACTTACATAGGTGCTACTTGCCATGATGAAACCTTTGGTTTGCTAACCAATGACCAGACACAGAACAACCAAGACAGTACCATTTGTTTACATTCCCTATAATCCTCCAAATAATTAGTGCATAATAGTGTGTCTGCTAATCACTGTTGTCTCTTTTGGTGCATCACTTTAGGAACATATTCTCACATATCCATGCAGGCAGTGTAAAGAACAATACTGATGTAAGCACCACCGTATCCCATGGTGGTCACATCAGTCAAGAATGATCCACTTTGTGGACATTAAGGCTGCTCATTTCTCTTTACAGTGCCTTGTTGAATAAGCTTTTTAGCAAGAATGTTATTCCTGTGTTGTTTCAACCTTAAAAATATATTTAAATTTCAACTCTAACAGGAGATGACATACCTAGATTACTGCAAAGTATATTCAAAAGGCTGCAGTACTAAAATAATCCAATACAAAGACTCTTACTCTTTCGTGTAAAAGTAGAGGAAAATAGGAAGTGTTGCCCACTGGCATCAATTGCATTTTATTTTGTTTCAAATTAAAACACGAGTGCTAGCATCCGATTAACCTCCAATTTTCTAAAACGCCCTGCCCAGTCAGCACACCATTTCATAAATAGTATGCAACATAAAATATTCTAATTATATGCTGTATTTTAGCCATAACTTTCCCTTTGACACTATTTTTGTTTACTGGCCATTCATGGAGCAGTAAGCTGTAAATATCTGCCATTCTCCACTGACATAAAGTGGTTATAAACAACGGAATATAGCTTATTTCCCAATTTTAGTGTACAATATGCATCTGCTGCTGCAGATCGGAATGTGTTTCATATGCATTCGTGGTATAAATACAAAATTATTTATGTTTTCTTTGATCGTATCAGAAGCTTATTTAGTAGTAGTAGTTGGTTTTACACTCAAGTATCATTGTTTAAAAGTTTACTACATTTAGCACACAGGTTAAAGGCTTTGAATATAGATTTTTTTTTTTTTACCTCCTATGCTGAAATGAATAGGTGTTTCCATATGAAGGCCAACCTTGTCAGCAGGTTATTTTTGCTAGCCCTTTCCCTGCCTTCAAGAATTGAATTTGGTGGGTTTAACATTGTGAGGTTTCCTAGATGGCATGGTATTGCTCTTTTTGTCTATGTCTTATTGGCACCAAACCCATGTTTTTGAGTGATGTTCTTGTGTTCAAGAGTCAAAATGGATCAACTAAATGAAGAAGACCAGGGGATGGATTTGTTGAAGGAGTTTGTTAAAACTTGAAATTGTGATAATGGTCTTCATATTATTTAATGTTGTTTCAGGAATATTTGAGTATGAAATGGGAGGCAATGTTTGAAACCCTTGCAATTTCAACAGCTGAATCACACTAGCCATTCCCAAACATACAATGGAAATCAAGATCCAAGAGCAGTTATTTAGAGTCTAAAAGACTAAACTGCAGCATTACATTTCCTTCTTACTGCAGCATGAATAAAACTTAATTTGCAATGTATAATTATGGATCTATTTATAAATGTTTACACACAAGATTCACACAGCCTTCACCAAAAGGGTCATTTTTTTTTCTAATTGAGTGCAATTGGAAAAATGTATGAATCCTGGGTGAAAGTTGTGCAGATCTTAGGATATGGAATGTTCTGTTGAACGCGATAAAACTCTACTCCGTTTGTTATTAGATATTCAGGATGCTGTGGTGCATGTTGAGAATCTTTCCAGTTATAAAAAGTCTTAGGTTACATTAACACAGGCTTCAAAAAGGGGCACTTGACATGGGTTTTTAACATCTGCAAGCACCCCCCAACCACTGGGGCTCTGTAAATGCTTTCACATTTAGGGTGCATTGTGTCACATCGTGCTGACACAGAATATTCAGGCTGCACTATCCCATCCACTTCAGCTGCTTCCCCCTACACTTTTCAGTAGGAGTCCGCTGATGGGAGGGGGAGAGTTCAAAACAGAACCTGCAAGTCACAGTGACTGGATGCTCTTCTGCATCCAATGCTTCTGTGAACCTGACGATTATAATTATAGTGAGCATGGTCTGTGTTAACAAGTATTCTGTCCATAGTATCATGTATATTTATTTATTTTATTATGATGACAATTTCATGCATTGGTTAAAGGATGACTATAAAACTACTTAGCAGGAGCACAACGAATAGTTATATGCAATGTCTGTTCAAACACAGCTCTAATGTGCTGTTGTATATCTTATAGGTGTTTTTTAGCTTTTACAACAACCTATAAAACTGCCACTATTATTAATGACTTATGCTAATACTTAAAACACCGACTTATCAATATTACCACATTGATGGCATATGCCCATGTTTGTTTTGTTAGACTTCAAAATCAATACTGCTAGCAAGCCTGGCATCCATATGGTTCTCACAGATAAACAAACCTAGCTGTTATCAAGTCTTGTTGAACAAGAGCCCATATACTGCCAATGGTACACATTACAAAATGTAACCTTTGCTACTTGTTATCCCTTTATTGGTCTGCATTTTCTTGAAAGCACACAAATGCCTCATCTAAAAAAATAGTAAAAAAAAAAAATATATATATTTATAAAATAAAACTTCATGTAACGGAGAAAGACTACACACAAAACTAGCACAATACTTCAGTTTATATTAGAAAAATATCTTTTTTTTTTCCTTTTAAAGGCAGTGCAGCTATACAAATGTTACCAAATCACTCGAAAACAGTGTCCATCACAGGCATGCTGATGGGCTATAAAATGTATGTTTTATTGAATGGAATATATCATTAAAAAAAGGTCTATGTTTTCTACATGAAAGTGGCAAGTTCATAAGGATGCTTTATGTAGGTGAACCAATGTTTATTTCTAGCATTATAAATTCATGTGTTAAACAGGGGTTTAGTAACACTGGAGTTGCCTATTAGTGTTCAGGAATACTGTTGTTGCCAGCCCAATTCCTGGCATGATGCTGGCTCGGCAGCACAAAACAGTTAGGCAGGTGCTCCAGATTGGCCTAGGCATATGTATATTCTGAGCTGCCCCACTCATTTCAAACAACAGAATGATCGTTGCTGTGGACACCAGCTAAGATGGTGTGGTTGAGTGAGGAGGCGGAGCGGTCAGACCCCTCCTGGGGACCGTTTGCGCTTTCTGTTCGCTGGCAGCACAGGATCTGTTTGAATGTGGCACTCATTTCCTTGTCTCGGTAGGAGTAGATGATGGGGTTCATAGCGGAGTTGAATTCAGCCAACAATAAGAAGAACTTCTCATAGTCTAGGATGTTGCACTGTGGACAACACACATCAAGTAGCAACAGAACCAGGCCTGGGGTCCAACAGACAATGAAAGCTCCTGAAAAACAAAATAATGAGAATACTTTTAATATATTGAAATGTGAAGATGAAAAAGTCTAGATGAGCAGAATGCCAGCATAAAACACCTGTGATGAGCAGTAGACGTCATGAGTTAGAAATCTTTACAGATTTTTAAGGAGTTGACTTTTAAGCAAACACATGTAATGGAAATATTTGGAATAGTTTAAAGGAAACACCTGGCAAACTGCAAAATCCACAGTTCACATCAATAAATAACTTGACATTTTGGCCAATCATTCTTGTAACACACACTATAGCTACCAAAGAAGAAAGACTTGATTACGTAAACATTAATTATTACTGCAGCCTACGTCAGCGCCCCACTCCCTTGATGATGCCAATGTCCAATAGGAATCTGCATCGGTGAACCTGGAAATAGCAGTCACATGCCCAGTTGTGCAGTGTGGCTGAAAGGTGTAAATCACAAAACTGGTTGAACAGATTAACAAATCCTTTGGCAGGTAAAACAATGTATTTCAACTGCTTATTAAGCTACTTGCCTGCAGTTCTGCTTTATACAGAACCTGTCAGTGATGTGTGCAGCAGTGCATTCCTCCTCACAGCCGTTGCTGAGTCAGTGACAGCCAGCAGCAGCTGCGGAGGAGGCTGGGCCCGACATTGGCAGCGAAGGAGGAGGCTGGGCCCGACGTTGGCAGTGAAGGAGGAGGCTGGGCCCAGCAATGGAGGTGGGGCCTGGCAACGGAGGAGGTGGGCCCGCCAGCGATCGTGGAGGAGGGGGAGGCGGACAGTGGATTGGGGCTGACAGGTAAGAGGGTTTGACCAGCCCACCCGAGACCCTGCAGAGCCCACCATAGAGTATATGGTGGGCTCTGCAGGGTCACTCTGGAGGTGGGCTGTTTGGGTTATCAGGTGGGCGTAACTAGAAATCACGGGGCCCCATACAAAATTTTGCTATGGGGCCCTGTGATTTATATAGTTATGCCCCTGAATGGGGACACTAGTTCAGGAGATCCTGCTGTCCACTAGGGATTCCCATCACTTTGTAGGGATTACCCCTCACGTTCTGTTATTGCTATCAGGCAGGAAGTAAAGGGAAATATCCAGAACGGGATGCAGATTGTAAAAAAAAAAATAGCTGAAAGAGATTATAACCCTTTCTTACTCCCTTTTCAATGACTCTGTGCTATGCATACATCACTGCATCATCCTAGAATTGGTATTGAAGGATATAAAAATAATAACAAGGCTAATCTTTGAAATGAGTCTTACATATATGTTAGACAGTAAACTAGGTATATTGCTCCTAATTTCATTTACCCTCCACATTGAACAAAAAATCTAATGTGTGTTAGCTGTGCATTGCGCCAGCTTTTGGATGCACCAATATAAAAAGGAGTTAGGCTACTGAGTAAGGGCCTGTTCACACCTAAGCATAGTGTTAACTGCACGATACTGTGTGATTAACACACGCCATCACACAATGCACCTAGCATGTGTTACGACCCACTAGGTGCACGGCATTGCCATCCATTTGAATGTCACCCCAGTGCATCTCTTGGACACTGTGCTACAACGCTTAGGTGTAAATATGCCCTCACTCTACAGCACTGATCCTCACAGCAAGTGCAACTAGGCTGTTATAGGGACAAGGTGTTAGCAACCATTAGACTGTACCTGGTGTCAAACATAATAAAAACAAGCAGTTTGAATCACCATTAAGAAAAGCTTTACTGAAGTAGCCTGCTTCGTAAACTAAAGTTGCTTGTGAATACCATTTCCTAAATATGTCCAGTTGAGGAAGTGTTTGTCAGCTGAAAAACTTCCCCTCATGTCACCCAGTTCTTATCAGATATTTGTCAAGAATAAGAGGAGCGTGAGATAGCCTAGAATGCATGTTCACATCGATCAAATAAACATTCAATTAGGAACTGTGCAGGCAATTTGATAAACAGGAGTAAATGACTAAATACCAATAAGATGTTGTCCGCTCAGTACATAAACAAAATGTTAAAGAACTTGACTAAGAGGAAGCAGCTCTTCAAGTAGAGCATAGTGAAACTGCTGCAATGTAGATAAAGTACATCCTGATCCAAGAATCACATCTGTGTTCCAGACCAGAAAAAATAGTGCATTCATTTTTCCCCCTGCACCGGAATTAACTGCACTGATGTGAACAGAGCCTAGAAATACCATAGGAATACATTGGGATGCATTGCAGGTGCAGACTAAAAATGTTCTGGTTCGAATCTGGTCTGGAGTTGGTGTGAACAAGCCCTTAAGGGCAAGTTCAAACCATACCCAGTGCCTTCCAGCACAGTTAGTGGCCGGAATGCACTGGATCGCATAATTAAAGCATCCCACGTTCTGGGGTGGGAGGGGGCGTGGTGGTGCCATTCATGTTGATGGCACCGCAGCCAGGCCACCTGCCCGCACCAGAACTTGTGGTACAGCAATGCCTGTGGTCTGCTGCGATTGCATACTTTTGTTTTATACCTCCTCACTAAAAGCTGTGCAGTTTTCTTCCCTTACTTTAACACTGACCTGAGGTCTTCTACTCTGTGTATTTCCACTTTTGCAGCCAACTTGGGATACCACCTATTTTATATTTGTTACATGATCCCATTCACATAGTATAAGCTAAAAACAAATATTTAAAACATGTTTCTTGCAGTTTAAACTGCTTTTACTTGGGTTAGGGTGCTATGGGTTAACATTTCTACTTGCTTTTCTTTCTTTGCTATGTTAGGAGGGGCTGTGAGGGGTGAGGGGTCTGAAGTGGTTTGTCCTTTGTATGTTAAATAAGTGAATGAGAGAAACACAACCCTCAAAATTTCAGTCCTAAGTCTTTCCATTAGGACAGATCACTGTGATGGTGCTCAGAAAAACCTGGACTTGGCCATTTTGCCTGCGTTAACAAAACATCTAAAAAAGGGAAGAAATATTTTGTTCAATTATTTTTCCTTATGCTGTGTGAATAGGAACACATAACGAACATATAGAGGGGTTGTCTCAAATTTTACTGCAAAAGTGGAAATACACTTTAAAAATGGAGAGAGATCATTAATGAAGCTAGCACATCACTGCAGTAATACGCATGCGTGTTTGCAGTCCAGATCACACTGCACAGAAAAAGACACTAGTTTGATCTACCCTTGCTCCTGTATAGGTGGATTATACAGCACACTTTATCACCTTGAATAATAGGGAACACACCAAGTAAATTGTATTCTCAGAAACAACAATTATTTTACAAAAAGAAAGCAACCCAAAAACATTTACAGCACAGCATTAGCTGAAGTCCTAGGATTCAGCATGCTGAGGGGCGGGCTCTGCAGTTACTTTCTCATCCAGATAAAACTGGCTCTATGGAAGTTGTTTTTACCACATAGGACATAAGGGTGTGTCCAAGACAGTCAATGGGGTCTTGTGGGGGACTGGGTGTGCGCAGAACAGAAGCTCCGTGAAAATAAATGTTAGAGGCACGCAGTGATTAGAGTGGGGGAGAAAATTAAAAAGCATCCAAGTTTTCCAACAAGCTCCAGAGACAGAAACAGAAGGGACATACTGTAAATAGGTGATGTCAAAATTCTCCTTTAAACAAATTCAGCATTAGGAAGAATGCTGTATACTGTCTCTTAAAATCGTGTCACAGTACTCTTGGGTGACTTAACCACCTCCCGTCCATCAAATGTTCAGAAATAGCCAGAATTTGAAACAGCCAGCCATGGCTATTTGCATATAAGCAGTCCGGTGCCTGTAAAGACGCCCGATTGCTTGTATGATGCATCTCTCTGTGCCCCCCTCTTCTTAGCTCTCCTCACCATCCCCACAATCGCAGGCATCTGATCCAGTACCGGCAGTGTGGCTCTGTGCATGGAGAACGGAGGGAGATCAGTTCACAATCTCCCTCCGCTCTCCTCCCCGCTCTCTGGATGCAGGAAGTAATGTTTATCACATCACTTCCACATTCATCTGTCACTCTCCATCTACAGAAGGATGTCTCCATAAAGAGGACCTGTCACCGTAATTTGATATCACATAGGGGGATTCTTAGTCCCCTATGTGATAGCAATAAAGCTTAGTGTAAAAAAAAATGTAAAATAAAAAAAATAGGTCACAAAATAAATCCAATTTACACACACAAAAAACCCACAATTTTTTTTTTTAAAGTCCCCCACCCCCACATAGATGCGCAAAAATGCAATAGGTGCACCTACGGGCAAAGACGATTGCGCCCATTATATCGCACTTGTTACATATCATCGCGAACGTCAGAGTGTGAGCAAAACTTTTACGGACATCAATCACTGTTAACACTAAACTGATGAGCGGTAAAAGCTTTTAAAGCGTCACCTTTGGCCAATTTTGGGCATAGTCTTTTTTTGCGATTTCACAGGCGTGCACAAGTTTAAGGCTTGACATGTTTGGTGTCTATTTACCCAACGTGACCGTCTTTTATATTTAACCAAAAATTGGGTAATAATAAATGTTTCCTAACATAATAATTTGGCTGAAATTAGACCTGTGTGTGGCCCTGTCGGCACTCTTCCATCCAAGAAACCGATTTTAAAATTCTCGGCCGAACAATGAATACAGCTACATCTGCAGTCCCTGTTATGTACATAGCACGGAGTAGATGGGGGAACCGAGCAGCACCTATGGAGCTGAATGGGAAAAATGGTAAGAGTATGGTCATCTTAATTGTTAGTAGCTGATTGTGATGCATTTAGTTTACTAATTTGTATGATATTGTAGTCTATCACAGGAGTGAGCTTGGAGCGGTGGCTACTTTACAACACACACAGGAACCATGGGGAACAAATTTAGCCACCCTCAAGAAGGAAGGACAGTGTCAGCACCAATTCAGAGATGATTTGAAGAGCTACAGCTGAGTGAACCACAAATAAGATACATTGAGGGGAATTTATCAAAACTGGAGCAGGCAAAATCTGGAGTAGATTTGCACTGCAACCAATCAGCATCTCTGTCTCATTTTCAAATGTTACCTGAGCAAAC